ATGTTTACCCTTATTACTTCCACAATTTCTGCTTTTGCCTGGTGGAATGTGAAGGCAGTATCTTTTCTTTCTGCTGAGCACCTCATCCTCCATATCACCATGAGTACGGCCAGCCTCATGTGGTTGAAGAGGTTACGTTGGAACAGTGTCCAGGTTGATGGGACAGATTTCTGCAGTCCCAGCAGAATGAAACCGGGATCCCAGTGGAATACTGTGCCTGTTAGAGTGTGCCAGAGGGCATCCCACCATTGCCACATTCGTTTGGCCATTGGGCATGCTAGCAGGCAGTGCTCCAGGTCTGCCCGACTGCGTTGTGTATTGTTTCCGCAGTGGGCGCAAATGGGGGACAGCACTCCTGCTTGTTCCAAGGAGGAGCAAGAGGTTACCCATTCCGGGGTTGGGAGGCAGCGGTGAAGGATTTGCCACTGCAGGGCCCTGTGGGATGTGGGCATGATGTGTGCGTATGTTTCCCAGGGGATGCGGTGCAGGGCAGAGCCATTCACCGGGGAGTCTCTTTTCCATCGATTCTGCACTATTGGTGTGGAGATTTTAAGGGGATGAGCTTGCTTGTACCCATCTTTTACTGTGTATTGCCAAACCGGAACGGACTTGCGGCCGCTCCATTCCCACTCAACCTTGGTTGTGATTTCACGCACCTTTGGGACAGCAACAGGACCCCAACAACAAAAACAAAAGAAAAACCTACCAATGGGAGAGCAAAAGAAAACATCCTTTTCCCGGGCTTAATTCACAAAAACAGGCTACCGCTGATTTCCTGCCAAATCCACGATGCCTGATAGTCACACACCTTAAACACTACTCCACATACATCGGTAGTGGGATCTCGCTCCACGTAAATTCAACCTTGTGTCTACTCTGACACCGGGTGGCCTTTCACCCCACCGCGCAGCACTGCCTTATGCCCCTGGGGGAGCCCAGCCCATGTGGGTGAATAGCGCTGTAGTGTAACTGCTGATGAACAGAGCATGGGATCCAATCTTCCAACAATTTGCCGACCCGAGGCTGCGGTCTACTGGGGTGCCTCGTCCAAACAAAGAGGGTTTTAAAAAAAAAAAAAAAAAAAAAAAAAAAAGGGGTAACTTCAGTAGAGTCACAAAAACGAGTTATAATTGCACTATAGGGCAAGATACAGTTTGCAATTGCACTTCAGGCACCGTAGCTAGCCAGAAAGCTGGGTTGTATACATTGTCCAAACTGCAATTCAAAACTGTATCTTGGCCCATACTGCAATTATAACTCATTTTTGTGACTCCGGCACAGTTTCCCGCCCCCAAAAAAAGGAGGTGCCCCTGTGACCCCTTGGACCTGTCCTGCCTTGTGACTGGAGACCCATAAAGGTGTCTAGACCAACGGGCCTAGCTCAGTTGGTAAACCCCTGCACTGTTGAAATATCGACTTATTGTGAGAGCATGGGTGCACTTGTATATGCATTTGGATTGGGGGGGTAGGGTAACTGGGGGGGGGGGGTCATGTTCCCTATAGGGCCTCGGCACACCATTCTTGCAAACTCTGCGTCGCCGCCACACCCCCCCTTGAAAGTAGGGCTAAAAAAGATAATTCGAGAGGTGTCAGAAAAGGGTTTCAACACCAGAGATCCGAGCCTGAAAACACTCTGGTTTTCAAGCGTCCTCCAGCGACCCCTTGAAGAACTTCTGCTTTTCAAAAGTGGCGTGCCGCGAAGGGCCCAAAAGTCCTGAAAACCTCACTCTTGAAAACATCTGAGAGCTCTTGAAACATCTTGCCTTTGCAAGAGTGGTGTGGAGAGGCCCGTAGACAACTACCGTAGTTTGTATAGGCATGTGGTTGGGGGAGGGCAAGAGTGTGTGTGTGTGTGTGTGTGTGTGTGTGTGTGTGTGTGTGTGTGTGTGTGTGTGTGTGTTTGTAATATGATCTCACAGCGCTTCTGCCATGTACTCCACTATTGCAGTGGTACACCAGGTCCAGCCATCACCCATCACACACCCCTCGACTGCCACCCATCCATGCTACCCAATTAGTGTTGAATGACAAGTGACAGCCAGACCACACGCAAACAAACCAAGCAGACAAACCAAAAAACAAGTCCCAAACGGATGCCAAGGCAGGAAAACAATAGGCTGGAGGGCATGAGGGAGGCGGGAGGGAAGACAACATACACCCACACCAAATAAGCAAACCAAAAGACAAGTCCCAAAAGGGTGCCACGGCCAGAAGGAAAGTACTAGGCTGGAGGGCTCGGGGGAGGCGGGACAAGGGACAACATACAAACACACCTTTTTTTTTTTTTTTGGGACAAAAGCTCCAATCTATTCGTGGGGAGCAACACGTGCTGGGAACCGGGCCCAGCATCCCATATAAAATGATACAAGAAATTTGGAATACCAGAACCATTACCTGGCATAGGCTAAGAACAGCCTGAGAATACCAGGGCCATTACCTGGCTTCGGCTAAGAACAATCTAAAAATTCCAGCTAAGAACAATCTGAGAACCATGAAAAGAGTGCAGAAGAACTTTAAGACAATCTGAGAATTTCAGCTAAGAGCAATCTAAGAACTCAAGCCACAGTCACTAAGTCACTTTGTCTTTTTGGGAATATCTGGAAAGGCTTGGAGAACTATATAAGCTGGGGGTCAAAACTAACATACAAGCACACCAAACAAGCAAACCAGAAAAAAAAAAAAAAAAACAGTCCCAGAAAATGTGAACGGTAAGAAAAGCAGCACTCTCAGGCTTCGAGGGGGCTTAGGGATTGGCTGGCGAGAAGGCAATCGGGTATAAGGAAAGTAGATGGGCAGCAGGATGGGTTCTGCCACGCTGCAGGAGGTGCAGGGACCCATCACTTGATTTGTGAAGACTCGGCCCATAATTAGGCCGACAGTCGATCCCCTTGGAAAAGGGTAATCAATGCTGTTCTGCTTCATACAACTTTCTCCAGTCTTGTAAGTGGGACACTGGACCCACTTTCCAGCAAGTGCCGCTCCCCACTAATAGATTGGAGCCATCTACCCCCCCCCCCCCCCCCCCCCCGCCAAAAAAACAAAAAAAAACACAAAACCCGAAAAAAAAGGGAGTTGATGATAGATTGTTTCGTCGAAGTTGCACCGACTCATCAGGAGGCTGAACCATTGACAATCTGTGGAATCTGCGTATTTGATGGTTTGGGTCATGAACCCTTTTGACCCTTGTTGAAGGCAGACTGTCCCCAGGGCCCGAGCGGAACATAGCAGCGGGCAGCAACCCTGCGGAGCACCAGGCAACGCAGTAGAGGCAACACGGCTGCACAACACCAAAAGCGACTGCAAGGAACGACAGGGCGAGCGGACGAGCAGCATGGGAACAGCACAGCGAAGCACAGAGCGACACCAACACCGCAGCCACACTACATTGCAAGCAAGGCATACGGACGGTAAGGCAAGCAGATGGGCAGAAAGGCAGCAGTGCAGCGAAGCACAGAGCAACACAAACACAGCAGCCACACCACACAAAGAACACAGCAGCTTGCTAAGAGCGACATGCGAAGCAAGCAGCAAGGCAGCAGTGCAGCGAAGCACAGAGCAACACAAACACAGCAGCCACACCATACAAAGAACACAGCAGCTTGCTAAGAGCGACATGCGAAGCAAGCAGCACGGGTCGCAAGGCAACGGCAGAGCACAGATGGCAGTCTACACATCCAACATGGAGCAAAGCGGCACATCACCTACTCACATCACGGGTGGACCCCGCAGAGGTTCCCACCAGCCCACTGAGCCAGGGAGTCACTGCGACGGATTTATCTGTCATCACCCATAGACCATATGCACCACACACACATCATGACCAGAGTGGCTCACCTGAGGGTCCTGCATGCACTACAGACAATGGACCACCTACTGTTTGGCAATGCGGTGCTCACTCGAACAGACAGAGTACTTAGAAAAAAAACAAACAAAGAGAAAAAAAAAACAACCAGCAAAAAAAAAAAAAAACATACCTAAAACTGATTTTGTGTGTGTCTGTGTGTGYGTGTGTGTGTGTGTGTGTGTGTGTGTGTGAGAGAGAGAGAGAGAGAGAGAGAGAGAGAGAGAGAGAGAGAGAGAGAAATGAAGTGGCTGCCATGCACGTAGCCATAGAGGTGTGCTTAAAAGATGCACCCTACCGGTAGGGGCATATGGAATTTTTTGGTGCTGTTACTCAACAGCTATCCGGTAGGGGCATACTGCAAATTTGGAAGGGGCATAACAAAAATACTTCAGGCCCAACCGACGACACCGGGGTTTTTATGGGAAATTTGAATAGTGGTCAGAGGGCCGCGACAGGGTAAATCAGCCGTGGGAGGGACTCGGTGCAAAATAATGGAAATTACAGGGGCGGCAGACAACATGTCCCTCCATTCTTTGATATGATAAACTTTTCCACCACTTTTTGACTAACTGTTTCACTTACACTGTATACCTGGGCTCAGGGTTTTTTTTTTGCAAATCAGGGAAATTACAGGGGCGCCAGACAAATTTCCCTCCATTCTTTGATATGATAAACGGCTGTGGTTTTTGCAAAGAATGAAGTTATGGGTTTAAGACTTCCAAGTCGGATCATCTCCAAACAATGTTTCCCGTGAGCCCACGTAGCTCATGAATGGTAGACACAACACAAGTCACTGTGAACAAACAGATCATGAGCTCGAATCCCCATGGAATGGATTCAATAACGTTAACGGCTATCCAAGTCCCTTAAAAATGTCACCTGACTCACCTCCCTAAGTGGTGTCCACGACTCGAAAGAAAGAAAGAAAGAAAGAAGAAGGAAAAAATGAAGAAAGAAAGGGATACACTGTCAAGTTTCAAGTTTCAACCATACAACGAGTGTTTGCTTGCATCGAGCGGTATTATTTGTACCAATTTAATTGAATTAATTGAGTCATAATTTAATAATGTCACAGTATTTGTAGGAAATTAGGAATTATGCGCTACAAGGGAGCATCACTGGCTAGAGATTTGGAGAATGAGAAGACGGTAGAGACGTCCTTCGGGACATCCGTTAAAATTGGAACGATACAGAGAAAAGAAGATTAGCATGGCCCCTGCCTGAGCAAGGATGACACACATAAATCGAGAAATGGTCCAAATTGAAGAAAAAAAAGAAAAAAAGAAAAAAGAAAAAAAAAAAAAAGAAGAAGAAGACGGTAGAGACCACTGTGATGCATACCCCATTTCACAGTTGCCCGGTAAACAGTAGGCAGAGAGGGAGAGAGAAGAGGACAACAAACGAGGGTCTGTGACAAACTGTTTCGTCGGAGTTTCACCGATTCATCAGGAGGCCGGACCAAGCACTACGGTCTTCATATGAATAGAACGGCCCGTCATTAGAACCGTACTGGGGGGGGCGACTTTCAGTCTAGAATCTAGATCCAGCGATAATTACTGTGTGGAGTGCGCGTTCTATTCCGGCGAAGAAATGTTGGTAACAGGACCTTCGACATTTAATAGCAGTGTCCAATAGCCAATAGCAGAGGCTATTGTTGGGCATCCAGCACTGTTGACTCTTGGGCACTGCTAATGTATGGTAGGGTGGGGGCAGAGGGGAGGCTAGGCGACTGGCCACAGCGCTTGGCACCGGCACTCCCAGTCGTCCCCCTGCGAGGGACTGGTACAGCTTACTCTTTCTTGCACCAGGGCTGTGGTTCGAACCAGCCCCATGGACTGTGGTTCGAAGTTCAAATCAGCCCCATGGGTACAGCTTACACTTTCTTGCACCAGGACTGCGGTTCGTGATTTGAACCTCGAACCAGACCCATGGGTTAACGGAGTGATACGGGCTTGTCGGTGTTAGTGCACATGCAGTAGAGACTGGAGAGCTGTAAACAGAGATCATACCGAAGTGGAAAAGGGGGAGATGGGAAGGAGAAGAACAAAACAGGGGTGAAAAACTAAAACTAATGATAATAATGTACTTGGTAGTAAGTTGGTACTCACTGCTTTTCCAGCGGGACCTTCTGGAGGAGCATCAAGTACCAATACTCCAGTCACGCCCAGCTGCTCTACAGCCTGCTCCGGTGCAAAGGAGATACCCAACACTGGCCTCGTCACTTTACCGAACTTGATAATCTGGTCGACAATCCCGCTCACCTGCAGACAAAATGTGAAACACTATTTTTAAGTCCGAAAAAGTGAAAAAGTACATGGAGCCAAACTAACATGTACAAGCACATGCACCAGTACTTTCTTGACTGAATCTGGACATAAATATAATGCTGAGATACAGCCAACACTGGCCTCATCACTTTCCTGTACTTGATAATGTGGTCAACAATCCCACTCACCTGCAGAAAATTGCGAAAATATCATCTACAATGATTCTACAGTCCAAAAAATGAAAATGTACATGGAGCCAAACCGACATGTGAAAGCACATACATCAAGACTTCTATTAGAAGAAGAAGAAGAAGAAGAAGAAAAAGACCTAATTTTAGAATTCAGTTCTGTGTGAGCCAGTGAGTGATGTGTTAGTTAACTTCGTTTTTTTTTTAATTTAATTTTAAATAAACACATGCTCCGTTCTGGATGTGGGGAGAAGTTAGTGTTTATTGCCGCAGACTATGAGGCGAGATGGGTCGATGACTGTTGCACGCGGTTCTGGCAAAGAAGTCCAGCAAATGGATTACGGAATTTAGAGATGAATTCAACAAATATGCTCCACAGAGCCTGATTGCATCGCCAGCCTGCCCGTTACAGTTCTAGCCAGGGCTTGTTTCCTGTGCCTCTTGCTGAGTAGCACACATTTGTGTCCCCCCCTTCCCCCCCCCCCCCCCCCCCCCCCTCTCCTTCCCTCGACACGTTCTCCATGCTAGCACATTTTTACATCTGTGTCTCTACAAACCCTGACTGAATACTTACGGTGTCAACGGGGATGGAGAAACCAACACCAGATGATGCACCAGACGGAGAGTAAATCGCAGTATTGATACCAATCAAGCTTCCAGTGCTATCCAGCAATGGCCCCCCACTGTTTCCGGGGTTGATGGCTGCATCTGTCTGAATCACATCTTGGATTGGCCGCCCTGTCGAGGCAGAGCTGATTTCACGCCGAAGCCCACTGTTCCAAAAAAGAGAGCAAAAAAACACATAGAGCAGCGTGATTGCAATTACAAATCAAGGACGCATTCCGGATAATTAATTATCAGTCAGCCGATGCCCGACGACTTAGGCAGGAAGTTAATCCAAAGTTCTGTCGAGCCCAAGACTGTAATTTCAGATGGCATTCGAGAACTGTAGTTTTCCACAGATCATTCGCTCGTCAGATGGCAGTTGAGTTTTTTTTTTTTTTTTTTTTTTTTTTTTTTTTTTTTTTTTGAATCTGGACCATTTCTCGATTAATGCATGTCATCGTTGCGCAGGGGCCATGCTAATCTTCTTTCTCTGTATTGTTCCAATTTTATCCGATGTCCCGAAGGACATGCCATTTGAGAACTGAGCTGAGTTTCCATACATCATCAAAATATCAATTCAGCTGCAGAAGATACTGGCTGTCCCCATCCCTCCATCCATACATACATACATACATTTAAGTCGTAACAACGACAAAAGTTAGCCACGCAAAAAGGTGTCAATAGACTACTGAGGTGGTTAAAATTGTTAATAGATTTTTACTATTTCTAGTATTTTTTTTTACCGAGATAGAGCGAGTTTACTCTTTTACTTCTCCAGTGGTTTGAAGATTGACCTCACATCCTTTTATATATACATATTATATATATCGTCACAAACAGAACTGCCCGGTAAACCGTAGGCAGAGTATATATATATATATATATATATATATATATATATATATATATATAGACCTTTCTTTGTTTCGTGGATGTTTTGCTGGCTTGTGATGGGGTGTGAACCGACAGTCTGTAGAGTTTTCCATCTGGTGTGGGTGAGTGATAGTCTACTTTGATTTTGGTTAAGGTAGATTATCATTTACNTGAGTTTAATAAACAGTTGCAATACTGTGTTGAGTTGTCATCTCTTCATTGTTTTCTGGCTGTCATCACTCGGTTGTCTTCTATGAATGATTGTTAGGAATTGTGTGGAGAGAATTCACTGTCTGTGTATTCTGTCACTTCGCTCCCCTGAGTCTTTCGCTGCGTTTCTTCTTGTTGGGCGGTGTGATACTCCACTACCTCTCCCCTTCCTTCTGTGCATGTAAGGGCGTGTACGGGGGTTCCTGTGAGTGAGTGCTGATAAAATTTCGGCAGACAATCATATTCATAGCAGTTGGTATCGGAGCAGATCGGACCCAGACAGTGGCGAGATGATGGACTGAGGCAGCCATCACTACCTGAGAGCTTCTGACGTAGGGTTTCGTGGAGAAACTCCATCTTCAGTGCTGCGCTCAGTAGGGTGTTGGTGAAGGGTGTGTGGCGATTGGTATGACACAGTGATTGGTGGCGATTCAGTGCTCAGTGGCCTGGGAGGCACTGGGGGGCTATTTTTAGCTGAGGTGGTGGCTCTGCTAGTGGCGAGATACCTGGGGGTATGTCGAGTTGGCAATTCTGGACCAGGTTCAGAGAATTTGGCTAGTGGGGATTATTCGCCATATCAAGAGCTTCAGTATCACCAAGTTTCAGGAGATTTTGAACGTGGGAGCACCAGGAACAGTGGATGGAAGAAACTGGCGAGATGGCAGCCATAGCCAGATCAGCTTCTTCATGCAGTGTTTTGACCTGAAGTGAGTGTGTTCCTTACTCAAGTCCCTGTAGCGAGTCTGATAAGTGTAATTAAACTGGAGAAATAGTAGTTGCGTGTCTGTTGTTAGTGAAAAGGGAAAATCGCACTGCCTGACAACCATATCCATTTCTCCTTCCTACCTACTTTGGCTTCTACTGACTCTGTTTGACCTCCTTTCTGCCTCAAATTGCATCTCTAACTGTATTACAGTATTGCGATTCAGGATGCACTGTGAATTGAGTAGTTCAGGGTCTGGATGTCAGTGATAATGGAATTCTGAATATTGCGCTGCCATAGCCAGTGCCTGGGGCAGCTAGGGTTTGTCGTAACTTAGGTTCTGTCCGTCAGAATTTCAATCTGTCAGTCACCCTGAAATCGCAATTCAGTATTTAGTCAGTGTCTGAAAGCGCTATACTGGATTTGATGTTTTGAGTCAGGTACAGTGATATCTGTACTTCGCCTCACCTATAGTGGGGCCTACAGGGTCATACAGTTCCAGTGTCAGTAGTAGGAGTCCAGAAATAGCTTGTTCAGTTACCCGCTGCATCTTGGTTGACTACTGGGTTCTGGGGATTGCTACTAACTCTCTGTGCTATTTTGATTTGTCTGCTTACAGTCCAAGGTTGCATCCTGTCTATCTTTCTGACAGCGATTCTGGGGGTATTGACTCAGATGAGGGTTCTGGGCTGTGAATGAAAAATCGCAAATCTGATTTTATATGGTTTTGACCTAAACTGACCCAGGACAGCCCTCAGCAGCCTACAGAGGCTGAGCGCTCTTCTGCCTGTAACACCACGTCTCTTCTCATCAGGTGGCAATGATTACATTTGTGTGTGTGTGTAATCTTAATCTCTGCTTACCTTGTATCTGCCTGTTGATATTTATTTGACTGTGTGAGTGGTTTATCATGCCTGACGCTGAAGACAAGATGTCTGAAGAGACAAAGGAGGCATGAACTTCTGCTCCTCCTGTCCCACCCCAGTCTCCTCTTTCTCCTCTAGAGCAAGCACAGCTGATTGCTGAGGAAGCTAGGCGAAAAGTGGATGAGCAAATCGCCAAGCTGAGGAAGGAGAAAGAAGAGGTTGAGGAGGCAGGGAGGCAGGAGGAAAGGAGGAGACAGCTGTTGGTGGAGGTACAGAAGGTTGTTGATAGCGGGACTGCCAGTGGGTACAATAAGAGCATTGCTGAGATGGTCATCCTGAATGACACTCTCAGCAGATCTTATTTTTCCAACTGGGACCACCGGATCTCTGTTGTGGAGAGTCAGGTCTCTGCCATCAAACACAAAGTGGATCAGATGGCAAAGGACCTGACCTCTCTGGCAACAGGGATGAATAGCATTCTGCAGCACCTCAAGCTGCCCCTCCTAGCCCCTCAGCCGGTACAGCCAGCTGGCCAGCTGATCACCCGGCCAACGGGTTCACCACCTCACAGTCGTCCAGCCTCACCTGCTGGTTCTCATGTATCAACCCCTTTTGTTGCTTCTGGTACATCTGTGCAGCGAGGGCCCAAGCTGACTCCACCTCCTATGTATTCTGGGGAAGACCCCAAGGTGGATGTATCAGACTGGGTCACCGCTATGCAAGCATACCTGGGCAGCTTCACATGCCCAGAAGCAACAAAGGTGGGAACCATTCTTGGCCGGTTGGAGAGGTCTGCACTGAAATGGTGCACCTCCTCTGCAACCAAAGAGAATGTTGCTATGGATAGGTGGGGACAGCAGCTGGGGGTGGCAGGGTTGCTGAAGGCGCTGCAAGACCGGTTTGCTGACAGGGAGCAGGCCCGCAAAGCAGCTGATAAAATTATGCTGCTGGGGTCCCACAGATTTGAGGGCTCTATGTCCAAGCTCTACAGTCTATTTGAGAGCTTGACTTCTACACCCGGTCTGGAGATGAGTGAGTCTGACCAGCTCACCCATTTCCTGCGTGCAGCCCCTCCAGATTACTCAATTGCTTTGTATGCTCAGGGCCACAAGGACTGGAGGTCCTTTGGCAAAGCGGCACTGGACCTAGAGTCTCGGCTCAAGGTTCAGACTCCTTCTGAAGGAAGGAAGAGGCCTACCTCCCAGGGACAGCGCAGGAGGAAAGGCGCTCTATTGGCTGCTGATGCAGGTTCTGATTCGGATGCATCTCAGCGTGGCAGTCCTCCATCTGAGACTGCATCAGGATCAGCAGTTGAGCCAGCCGTTCTTGCCCTGGTTGAGAACCTTGCTGCCATGTTCAAGGGAAAGTTCAGCAAAGACAGCAGCAAGGGTTCAGCCAGTCAGAAAGGGAAAGGGAAGGGACGTGCCACTTCCCCTCAGGCCCAAAGACCTAACCTTCCACGAGACGTCCATTGGCCAGTCAACGTCATGGATCCTTCCACCCTTCCCTGGAGAGCGCTCAGGATCCAGGATGGGCAGTGGCAGAGGAGGAAGGACCGTGAGGTTTGTTTTCGCTGCGAGGGGAACCACTTCTTAAAGGACTGTCCCCACATGCCTCGCAGACCTGGTTCGAGTTCAAAAAACTCGACCAGTTCAGGGAAGTGGAGTCTGCAGCTCCCTCCACTTATGCTGAATCAGATTCTAATGGATCTGATTCTGCATCTACCCTCACTGACTCTCTTGTTGGAGTTGCTGTGTCAGGATCCTTTACTTACATGGACCCTGACCTGGATGAGACGTGGCAGGAAGATGATAGTTAGACTTTTGTTGATCTTTTCTTGTCTTTGCAGGAAAAGAAGAAGCATAAATCAGACCTCATCTTGCTGCGACCCTCTATCCTGGGAGCCAAGATCAAGGGTCTGTTAGACTGTGGGGCTACCTGGAACTTCATCTCTCCCAAGGCTGTCAGTAAGCTGCATCTGGATGGGAGATTGGTGAAGTTGCAGCAGCCACTGGAAGTCCGAATTGGGGACTCCTCCACAGTCCGGATTACATCTGCTGTCAGGAACCTACCGGTTACCTTTGACGAGCAGGAGAAGGTCAGGCAGCGCCTGAACTTCTATGTGTTTCCCAACGTACCCTTTGATCTTGTGTTTTCCATGCAGTGGCTCGAGGCCACTAACCCTAGGATCGACTGGCAGATCCCTAGGGTAGAGCTCCCTGACTGTAGAGGAGACTATCAGCCTTGTGTCCTGGCTGATGAGTACCATCCAGTCAGCAGTTGCTATTGTATGAGGGCACACAAGTTTTTCCAGCTCTCTCATCAGACTGCCCACACACGTCTGTTCGTCGCATATGTGAAACAGACTGGTGTGGATGTTGCTCCTTGTCCCTCACCGATTCAGCAGGTTTTGGACCGGTATCCAGACCTGATGCAGGAGCCTACTGGACTTGTCCATAGGCAGACCCAGCACAGGATTGAGCTCCTGCCGGGTGCGGTCCCTCCCAAGGGCCGTGTCTACAGGATGTCACCTGCTGAACTCGATGAGCTCAGGAGACAGCTTGAGACCCTGAGCAAGGGCCTTGCTCAGCACAGGATTGAGCAAGGGCTGGATCAGACCCAACACATCTGAATTTGGGGCTCCAGTTCTCTTTGTCCCAAAGGGAAATGGAGAGTTCAGAATGTGTGTGGACTACAGGGGTCTCAACAAGATCACTAGGAAGTCCACAGAGCCCCTTCCTAGGATTGATGATCTGCTGGACATGGTGCAGGGCTGCACAATCTTCAGCAAGATCGATCTCAAATCTGGCTACCACCGGATTGAGATGGCTGGACTGCCTTCAAGACCAGATACGGCACCTATGAGTACCTGGTCATGCCCTTCGGTCTTTGTAATGCCCCTGGCACATTCCAGACAGAGATGCATCGCATACTCAGGCCTTACCTGGACAGGTTTGTAGTTGTATACCTGGACGACATCCTGGTATTCAGTAGATCTGTCGAGGAGCATGC